TATTAGGTGGCAATTGCATTTTATTAGGCATTCAGAAGAATGAATCTGAATGAATGGCAAAAGAAAAAGCTGAAGAAATAGGATGAAGCCACATCAGGGCTTGGATTTTATACACGGAGAGCCACCAAAGGTGGTGTGCTTAATTTTTAGCACATTGAGTTTAAGTTGAGTTTTTTTGGTCATCTGTACAGGAATCTAAAGCTCAGGTGAGGTGTTTGGAGTCTTTGTATTTGGGGAGTAGTTAGAACCTTGAGAATTCAATAGAGGGGAAAAAAGTGATCGAACAACGACAAACCCTTGGGGTGTGTGAGTGTTAAAGGAGTGGGTGGAGGAAGGGGGGCCAGCAGTAATAGTGTCATTCATTGCTGACATCAGTGGGACTCTCTGTCAGAGCATTTTCATGGGAATGGAGGAGGCAGGCACCTTATTACATGCTGGGATTTGTAGACTGAGTGAGAAATCAGGAAGTTGAGCCACCAAAAGACAATAGCCTTTTCAGAAGATTGGCTGTAGCATGCTGTTGTAATTGTTTACTTATGTTTTCCCTCACCGAGCCGTCTATGATTTTCTGGTAGACGTTGACTAATCCAGAAATTTGGACACTAACCGCGCTTTACTTAGGTTTATTAACTTATGCTTTCATTTTTCACTTCAGATGACAAAGATGAAAGAGCAACAATGGGATATGAGGAAATGATGAGGAAGCTAAATTGCTAGTGGTGGAGTAGAAAGAGTTCTTTTTTTCTTTTGATTTTTTCCACTTGCCCCAACCACATTTTGTAGTCTATTCTAGTTAGAATAAAATAGTGCTGTTGAATTTGCATCTCTTTAATAATGCTACAGAAATTTGGTATTGTGTAATACAAGTCATTTAATGCCGATAGCAACTCTGAGTTACTACTGTTGTCTCTTTTAACAGATGGAGGCACAGACAGGTATAACCCCTTGCCCTGAGGCCACATACCTGCTAAGTGGTAGAGCCAGGATTTGAGCTCAGGCAGTTTGGCTGCAGAGTCCAGTTCTGGTACCTCTGTCTTCACCCTCTCCCGCCAAACACTCATTAGCAATAAAAGTTTGGCATGCTGATTTTGTAGCAGTTCTTTCTATTAAGACCAGGGCTTTGTATTACTCTGAAGCGATGATTTATATCTTAGCTTAGGCTAGGAAACAGATTGAGAAATAGTAAAGTGATAGCTTTTCTGCTGCTCCTGGGTGGTTTCATGATTTGATTTAGAATTGCTATGTTAGAAAAATTAATAATAAAATAAGAGAGGTAAGCTTTCCGTCAACTAGTTGTTGATCACATGTATGTTATGATAATGTATGGCCCTACACTAAATGTAGTTGAATGTTTCGGTGGGAAAATAATGGCTGATTTTGAAATTAATCTAGTTTGTGTTGAGTATGTACAGTCAGCCCTATATATCCATAGATTCTACCTTCATAGATTTAATCAACTGTGGGTCAAAATTACTTGAGGAAAAAAAAGATGGTTTTTCCTTGTCATTATTTCATAAACAATACAGTATAACAATCATTTAAATAACATCTGCATTGTATTAGGTATTGTAAGTAATCTAGATATGATTTAAAATATATAGCAGGATGTATGTGTGGGAGGATGTATATGCTTAAGTTATTTGTAAATACTGTATTGTTTTATACAAAGAACTTGAGTGTGTATGGATTTTGGTATCTGAATAGGGTCCTGAAACTTATCTCTAACAGATACCAAGAGATGACTATATCCATTACAACTAAATTCTTTCAGAATCACTGTAGAATAGGTTGGTAGGAAGTTCTAAGTTAGTATGATCTGGGATTCCACTAAAGCATCTAGCAGATTAAAAGAGCTTCTTCTTTTAAGGCTTTTCTGTTTAGAGAAGAAGATTCTAATAATGTGTTTTTTTATATTGTTAACAAATATCAGTGATGCAATAATGGAAAAGAGTCTGTAAGTCAAATGTGAAAGGATGAAAGAAAAATCCAAAGGGTATTTGCCTTTAAAGCTGCTTTTATTTCTTTGATACTTAACTAATAAGTAATTTTCAAAGTTTATGATTTATCCATATTAATCTAGGAGCCATCCCAGATAGTAGCAGAGATCTCATGATGATGTATTGTTTAATTTTTACAAAAAGAATGAGTTTATTTTACTGCCCAGAACCCTCTATGTTAATTAATAGTAATCATGAAAAATAACAGAAATAACAAAGCATTATTGTTTTATTTACATTTTTAAACAAACATATATGCCAGTATGGAAAAATAGCAAAAACACTTTTAGCATTTATGTATATTTAGTATTTTTTATAGTGCACTTGAAAACCCATTGGGATTAAGCAATTTTGTGGGACATTTTCCTTAACATATTCTCTTGAGTGTTGTCTTGTTTCATCAAAATCTTTTCACAGAGAATTCGTTGTGACTGTATACTATCATGTGTGAACCATAATTTTACTTTCCATTTCCTTAACTTTTAACGTTGAGATTATTTTCCATTTTTCAAGTTAAAAATATAACTTCATTGAATATCCTTGTTTATCCAAGTATTTATTCAGGTTTTTTTCTCTAAGATGGTTTCTTGTAAATGGAATTATTGAGTCAAAGGGAAGAACATTTTTATTGTTCTTGTTCCATAATGGAACAATTTGGTCCATCACATTTCATTTGATGAATCAAATAACCCATTTCAACACCTACTATATTAGACATTGTGCTAGGAATTTTATGTATAAAGATAAGTAATAGATAGTGTGTGCCTTCAAACATCTTTTACTTCAGTGGTGACAACTTCAAAAGTAGCCGTTGCCAGGATTGAGTTCTGTTCCTAAATTTTTGCTCATTTATAGAGGGAAATATTAATAATATGTTTGATTGCTACTTACACTTCAAAGCTCTTTCTTTAGTAAAAGTTTGTGAAGTGAGATGAAGTGAGCATAAGTCGTGAAATATAATTATTGATTTACAGTGAAATATGTTATCTATTTTGGTTGCAGTTGTTGACCTATAAAAGAAGGTTTATGTGATGACTGGGTAAGCAGTGGATTACTTCTGATGTCAAATATGTGATCATGAATATGTACATTGTGGGTGTGTGTCTATATTTTAAATTTAAGAAAATCTTCT